TCCCCCGGTGCTCTGTCCTGGGAAGGTGGAGCTTTATTTATAAGTTCCTGATGTGCTGCTGCCTTTTTTCAGAGATGCCCTGCCCAGCGAGGAAGTAGCCTAGTCACAGTCTGCCAGCAGAGGCGTTGCTGAGTTGCCATGGGCTCTGCCCAGCTGCTATGTGAACTTCCTTGCGGTTTTATTTAAAGAGGTGTAGTTAGAACTGCCTCGGTAATGGCGGTCTGCCTCAGTAATGGCGGACTGTCTCTGTAATGGCAGACTGCTTCAGTAATGGCGGATTACCTTAGTAATGGCAGACTGCCTTGGTAATGGGTGGACTGCCTTGGTAATGGTGGACTGCCTTGGTAATGGTGGACTGCCTTGGGAGTGGTGGACTGCCTCGGTAATGGCAGATGCCATTCCCCCCACAGAGCTGGACCATCCCGGGTCCAGCCATGCTTGCTGTGAAACTCAATCCAGAGCATTTCAGATTGCTGATCTTTGTGGGGGTGGTACCCCCCAAGCCAGATCACCTGGCTCCCTGTTTCAGCCCCCTTTTTTTTGGTTGAATGGGCAATTCTGTCTCCGAGGTGTTCCAGGCACCAGTTGAAACGGTCACCCAGATTTGTGTGAGTTTTTGTGCGGAAACTCGCTACATTGGCTGAAACAGTCATGCTGGGGAGTCATGGCACTTTTCTGCCTGGGAATCTCCTGGTCTGCGGGCAGTAAAAACTTGTTTGGAAATGCAGTGATCACTTGCCCTCTGCGTTCTCACTGGGAACTGCACTCCAGAGCTGTTCCTATTCGGCTATCTTGGATCTCACCTATCTAACTTTAAAAAAATAATTTGTAAAGACAGAGTCCCACTTTTTTGCCCAGGCTGGTCTCAAACTGCTGGCTCAAGTAATTCTCCTGCATTGGCCTCCCAAAGTGCCGGGACTACAGGCGTGAGCCACTGTGTCTGTCCAACATGACAAGTATTATTCTCTGGCAGGAAGTGAAATTTTTTCTCACTGATGATTGCACACAAATGTCATATCTCCATGAGGCTGCCACTTACTAGCTTTGGGGCTCATGTCACCTTGCTTCAAACTATGCTTTGGTATAATTTTGAAGTGTATATTTCCATTGTCTCTTCTTGAGTAATTGATAGTCTTCATAGTAAGTTTACACTTATTATCACTTCTATTTATTTTATTACTGTGAGCAACCAATCTTATGAGCAACTCATAGTGGAATTTGTGGGTCATGGTAAATATATTATTTGACTGACTTCCAAACACGCTTACTATTGCCTGGTGTTTTGATTATTTCAAAAAATACAGATTTCTTGAAAGGCCTGCAAAAGAAAACAATCAAAATTATAGCAGTTGAGAACATGAGCCTGCCTCGGTTTGAATTCCAGATGGGCCATTCCCTAGCTGTGTAATCTTGGGAAAATTATTAAATCTCTAGCCTCACTTTCCTCCCCTGTAAAATGAGGATATAGGCTGAGCATCCCTAATCTGAAAATCCAAAATTTAAAATGTTCCAAAATCCGAAGGTTTTTGTGTTCCTGCATGACGTCACAAGTGTAAAATTCCACGCTTGACCTCATGTGACAGGTCACAGTCAAAATACAGTCAAAACATTGTTTCATACACAGAATCCTTTTTTTATTTGTATAAGTGTAGGTGGTACAAGTGCAGTTTGTTACATGGACATACGGCATGGTGGTAAAGCCTGGGCTTTTGGTGTCTCCATCACCCAAGTACTGTCCATTGTATTCATTAGGTTATTTGTCATCCCTTACCCCTCCCACCTTCCTACTTTAAGTCTCTAATGCCTAGCTTTCTATGTTCATGTGTACACATTATTTAGCTCCCACTTCTGAGTGAAAACAGTGATGTCTGTCTTTCTCTTCCTGAGTCTTTTCACTTAAGATGATGGCCTCCAGTTCCATCCATGTTGCTGCAAGAGACATGATTTCATTGTTTGTTATGACTGAATAGAATTCCTCATGCACAAAATTATTAAAAATATGGTATAAAATTACCTTCAGGCTATGTGTATAAGATATATATGAAACATAAATGAATTTAATGTTTAGAGTTAGGTTCCATCCCCTAGATGTCTCATTATGTATATGTAAATATGACATGATACAAAAAATTCAAAATTCTGAAACACCAGTTGAATTCAACTTTCAATAAGAATGCATACCTCAAAGGGTTATAGTGAAGATTAAATGAGACAATCCTAGTCCAATTTCTTTGCACATAGTAATGCTCAATAATTATTACTTAAATGGGTATAAACTTTATACTAATAAGGTTGGAGCTGGAAAAATACATAGTTTTCATCATTTCCCATAGCAGTCACTCAGTCCCTGACTCTAAACTCTGTGTTCTATGTGGTGGGTGGGTGGGGCAGGGGAGTGGGAGAATCCTCTTTATTCTGTAAGGTTGGTCCTATGGAGGTGTCTGTGGCAGATTGACAGATGGTTTTGTCTTGTGCATAGATGGTGCCTGTGGTTTCCTCTGGCAGAGTTCAGCAGTGTCCTAATGCAAACTCAGTCCTCATCTAGCTCCTGCACAGGCTGATCTCTGGCTCCTTTAGCTCCTACTGGTTCCTGTTGTTTCATTTTGAGAGGCACCCTGGTAGGGACTATAGTGCTCTCTTCAGCTGACCCCCAGGTCCCCAGTCAGAACCAAGAGATCCGACTCTCATAGCACCCAGACACCGTGGGAAACGAGGGGAATGCTTTGCTCTCAGCTACTAAGGTTGTCCTGTCACCTTCTCTTCTGCCCTCCTTTGCCATGGTATAGGATAATGTAAGTCAGCAATCTCATCACTTGGTACAGACTCAGAGGAATGTAAATCATTCTACCATAAAGACACATGCACACGAATATTCATTGCAGCGTTATTCACAATAGCAAAGTCATGGAATCAACTTAAATGCACATCAGTTACAGACTGGAGAAAGAAAATGTGATATATACACCATGGAATACTATGCAGCCATAAAAATAATGAAATCATGTCTTTCATGGGAACATGGATGGAGCTGAAGGCTATTATCCTTAGAAAACTAACACAGGAATAGAAAACCAAAAACTGCATGTTCTCACTTAGAAGTGGGAGCTAAATGATGAGAACTTACCAACACAAAGAAAAGAAGAGCAGACACTGGGGTCTACTTGAGGGTGGAGGGTGGGAGGAGGGAGAGGAGCAGAAATGATAAGTATCAGGTACTAGGCTTAATACCTGGGTAATAAAATAATCTGTACAACAAACCTCTGGGACACGAGTTTAGCTATGTAACAGACTTTCACATGTGCCCCCAAGCCTAAAAGCTGAAAAAAGAATCCCAGATGGGAAGTAGGGCACATTTTGCCTCATTTTCAGCTTCATCCTCACTCCCTAACTTACGTCACTCACGTCTCCTCCATCGTCAGGGACAGCAAGAATGGGAGGGGACGGGCCATGCCACATCCATTCTCTAATCTTATTTCCCCCTGCCTCTTCAGCAGCACTTTGTTTCTCCTCTCCAACTTGAAGGCCTTACAGGTATTTGGTTTCAAAGGGATGCAAAACCGGTTTTGTTAGTAATTCCCTCGGATCTGCCCTTGTCTCCCATCAAGGCTGTACAAATAAAGAATCCAAGGTGTTTGTTTTGTTGGCCTGCTGCTGCGGGGTAGAGATAGAGGAAAGTAACTCCCCCCACCCCGCCCCTCCTTTGGCCGATGACTCCAAAGACTCTGCCATAAAAGAACACTTCATAGAGCTGCTATCATTTTTTTTTTTTTTTTTTTTGAGATGGAGTCTTACTCTGTCACCCAGGCTAGAGCGCAGTGGCGCGATCTTGGCTCACTGCAACCTCCTCCTCCCAGGTTCAAGCAATTCTCCTGCCTAAGCCTCCCAAGTAGCTGGGATTACAGACACATGGCACCCCACCCAGCTAATTTTTATATCTTTAGTAGAGACGGGGTTTCACCTTGTTGGTCAGGCAGGTCTTGAACTCCTGACCTCATGATCCACCTACCTCGGCCTCGAAAAGTGCTAGAATTACAGGTGTGAGCCACCACACCCGGCCCGGAGCTGTTATTATTATTATGACACATGTCTACTTGATCTAAGCAGTTCTTTTACTTTCTTAGGGCAGTCATTCTTAAGTCTTTGGATTTCACAGAAGAGAAAATATATTTTAATTGAGGACTGATGAAGGGTTGCCAACTTTTAATTTTATCAACTATAAGAACTATTTTTATAATTGCCATCAATTTCTATCATTTCTTTTATTCCCCCTGTCTTCTACTGTGGAAGGTAAAATTGAAGAGCAAAGAATACCTCTTTCAAAATGAGTAAATTTAGCCATATGAAAAATCAGCAGATTGCCCTGAGTTTGCCTGCGTAGCTGCAGTCCAGTGGAAATTTCTTCCAGACCAGCACCAGTCAAGCCAGTGACATTTAGAAATCACTGCCCTGGAGTGTTTCAGCCACCGAAACACTTGGTGTTTGCTGTCGGCTGTGATTATATATGAAGTACTTTCGGGAACCAATGTGTAGCATAACTTAGGCCAAAAGAAACGCTGTGCCTAAATACTCAGCCAAGGAGCATTGAGTTTGCCTGGATTTCTGGAAAATTGCCTCCATTCCCTACATCACTATATTTGGGTAAACAAAAGATGTCCTCAGAGAGCTTTTGCAGGAGAAATTATAAAAATTCAGCAAAGCTTTGTGATCTCATTTTGGATCTCCTCAGGATTCCTCATCAAGTTGCAATTAAGGAGAGAAAAATTCTGCCTTGGGGTGTGATTTTAATTACTCATCGTGTTATGACTTGACTTTCGGTGCTGCATTTTTTTCCATATCACTACTTCTGTGTTTGACAGCTTCTTCAAAGAGTCACTCTGTTTTACGCCAGGAGCGAAGTACTTACTAACTCAAAGAAGGCAAGGCAAACATCTACGATTGCCTTTGTGCTTTTACCAGAAAACCGGGTGAGAACCTCCTTTTCCTTTTCCCTGCCCCTCCAGCCTCAGTTTTATGACCCTGTGGAGCCGGTGGACTTTGAAGGACTTCTAATGACACACCTGAACACTCTGGATGTGCAGCTTGCCCAGGAGCTCGGGGACCTCACTGATGACGACTTGGATGTGGTGTTCACACCAAAGGAATGTAGGACTTTGCAGCCCTCTTTGCCAGAGGAAGGGTAAATTGTTTTCTTAAATGTAGATGTGATTGTGACTGTCATGTGATTGTTTTCAATAAGCAGGTGGGGGAGATGTCCTAGATCTGAACTAAAAAAAAATTACTCAATCTGTTCAAATGTGTGGGACAACTGTATGATATCATCACCTCAATATAGGTAGGTTTTAAATTAGTTTGGCCAGAGCTTTTGAAAAGCTACATGGAGACCAAGACAGTGCAAGGGATGCAGGGGGACCAGAGGAAATGCTCAGGAGGAGGTTAAAAGGACAGGCTCTGGAGCCAGACCACCTGGCTGCCAGCTCAGTGACCTTGGGTGACCTCCCAAAGCCTCAGTTTCTCCATTTGCAAAAATGTCAAGATTTTTTTTTTTTTTTTTTGAGACGGAGTTTCACTCTTGTTACCCAGGCTGGAGTGCAATGGCCCGATCTCGGCTCACCACAACCTCCGCCTCCTGGGTTCAGGCAATTCTCCTGCCTCAGCCTCCTGAGTAGCTGGGATTACAGGCACACGCCACAATGCCCAGCTGAATTTTTGTATTTTTTAGTAGAGACAGGGTTTCACCATTTTGACCAGGATGGTCTCGATTTTTAATAATTATTATTGAAATGCCTCCATCCAAAAGCATTTTAATTGCTTACAGTTATGAGGCTGGATCAAGTTAGAAACATAAGGTAAACCCATGTTTATTGAGCATCTACTATATTCTGGGTACTGAGATAAAAAGATGAAGAAGGCAAAGTCCCGCGTTTGGAGAAAGTGTCATGCAGTGGTAAAACAGTGGGGAGAGCTCTGTAGAATGAATATGTGAATAGCTAATTAGGGCATGAGTTTCTACAGTTGGTTATTCTATATGTTTATAGGCATGGGCATTAGCTTTTGGTATCAAACTAACTATGGAATTATAGCTAAACGAAACGCCTATTGCTTCTAAAGTTTTTTTAAAAAATGTCTCTTTGGAGGTTTAGGATAAATTTATATTTACATTCGTTTTAAAGGCAAAATTAAGATTCAAATCCTCCTGGACATGTTCAACCTTCTCATCCTCCCCGAAAGGTCTCAGAAAGAAGATCCTGAAACACAGGCCCTGCCCTCATTAATCTGAGATATTCTAGTTCTATTTTGGATTTTTTATTTCATCACAATTTAAGGAGGTTGCATGATAATGAGGTGGTGTTATTGTGAACCTTTGCTCTCTTGTTCAGACAGTTCTCACTCACATAGGAGAACTGACCATATTTTCAGTTATGATGTTTTAAAAATACACACTTCCCAGAAAATAAAAACATTGTCATTTTTGGGAAACATACTCCCCCATTTTTCAGTCCACTTATTTAGGTTTGACCTTAATGTAAGTGACACCTACTAGTCTCATCTTTAGTGAAGAATCATTGAATTTATTCCTTTATGTAAAATGTATAGTTGTTTTCAAATATGGCCAGAATCTTGGGAAAAGCTGTTTAAAATGCTTACAGTAACCAGTCACCCCAGCTCATTCCTGTGGTCTCAGCTACTCGAGAGCCTGAGGCAAGAGGATCACTTGAGCCCAGGAATTTGACTTCAGCCTGGGCAAAATAGCAAGACTCTGTTTCTTAAAAAACGAAAACAAAAACAGTACAATAAATTTAGAGGAAGGAAGAATTTCTTTTGAAATTTGATAAGACAATTTTTTACTTAGCATCAGTTTTTTAGTATACTATTGTCAAAAGAATTTATAGCTAGCTTATCTGTCTGATGACTTTAAGACAACCTCTGCTATTTCAGCTGTTGCCAAAAAGTCTTCTGCATAATTAAATCAGGGGAGGGTATCATCCTCACACCAGGGTGTAAACAATTGCTGACTCCTGTTGAACACCCCGTGCCTAGCCCAGAACTTTCGGTTAAGCTGTAATGGCGTGCTAGTGAAAAATATGGACACCACAGGTGAGCTGCCTGGATTCAAGTCCCTGCTCCAGCACTTCTGTGTGACTTGAAACAAGATCCTTACCGTCTCATTTTTCTTCAAAGTGAGAATAATAGGAATGCCTACCCTATGGTGCTGATTGAGAAATAACTGAATTAATACATATAAAGTAATTGCATCAGTGCGTAGTGCATAGTGAATGCCACTTAAGTGTAAACTATTAATTCATATGTGCACCTTATTATGTGCCAATCTTCTAAGCACTTTGCACGCTAACACATTTAATCTTCATCAAAGCTCTCTACTAAAAGGAGCACTTACTACTCTCATCGCTTTAAGGTGAGAGACTGAGGCACAGAAGGGTTGAGTGACTGGCCCATGGTCACATTGCTATAAAGGATGAAGCTGGGTTTGGGCAGTTAGGACCCAGATACTACATGTGTAACATTTACGATACTTCATCTCATACTAACAGCACATTTCTGTTCTTACCTCCTTTTTGCAAATGAGAAAATTAAGGCTTGTAGCATTTAAACCTGTTTATTTCTGGTACTAAAGCATTTGCAACAATAACAATTGTTATACAATTGTTATTTCTGATTTCAAGACTGTGAAACACTTGAAGAGTATTGCTCCTGGTGCATTTCTTAAGCTGGCACAACAGGAACCGTCTGAATTAATGATCACCAACAAAAGCCAGTGTCTGCAAATTCGTCAAAGCTTAAGACAACTGTTCTTTTTCCTGGCTTTCAAAAAGGAGAACATACGTGTCCTAACAAGGTTACACATGCATAAAAAATATGTCCAAATTACCCTGTCAGAGTTAGGTATTTATACTTATTTTTCTTGTTTTGTATTCAATTACAGCTAGTTCTACCTGTCTTGTGTCAGAATGCCTTCAAGGATAGTTATAATTTAACATGAATCTCTGTAATAAAGAAAACCCACAAAGCAAAAAATGCCAACATGTTTATCTCATCAAAGTAAAAATGTTGATTGCCTCAGGAATACTTTAGACACTTGGAATGACTGGGCAAGAACATCCTAAGCATTCTCACTGATAAGGATTTAAACTCATGTCACATTCCTTGCTTATGATAATGGATTGTTTTGTTGTTTTTACCCAGTAATAACGTGTTTATTTCATTTTCTACCTCATTAGGGTTGAACTGGACCCTCACGTCAGGGACTGTATTCAGACCTACATCCGGGAGTGGCTAATCGTGAACCGGAAGTAAGTTACTTTTTCTCCACTTTTTATAGATAAATGTTAATTTTATATTGTTAGCTTTTTAATATTTCTTGATACTTTCAACAGTTCAACGTTTACAGAAAAATTGCATGGAAAATAGTTCTCATATGCTCCCTCCTCATCCCCACCCCCCCATCACACACACAGTTCCCCTATTATGAACACCTTGTTTTAGTGTGGTACATTTGTTATCATAGCTGAGCCAATATGGATATGTTGTTATTAACTAAAGTGCATCATTTACATTAGTGTTCACTTTTTGTGTTGTATATTCTGTGGGTTTTGACAAATGTGTGATGACATGTTTCTGCCTTTATAGTATCATACAGAATCGTTTCACTGCCCTAAAAATCTCTGTGCTCATCCAGAGAATAATAACCTGTTTATCCTCCCTCCCTGGCAACCACTTTCCTTTTTCACTGTCTCCATAATTTCACCTTGCTCTCAATGTCTTTTTGTGGCTTGATAACTCATTTTTTATCACTGAATAATCTTTCATTGCATGGATGTACCATTGTTCATTTATCCATTCACTTACTGAAAAAGAAAGTTATATTTTAAACATAAAAAATAGACTACAAGCTTGTCCAACCCCTAACCCATGGGCAGCATGCAGCCCAGGATGGCTTTGAATATGGCCAAACACAAATTCGTAAACTTTTCTTAAAACATTATGAGATTTTTTTTTGCGAATTTTTTTTAACTCATTAGCTATTGTTAGTGTTAGTGTATTTTATATTTGGCCTAAGATAATTCTTCTTCCAGTGTGACCCGGGGAAGCCAAAATATTGAACTCCTGGAATGGAGTCTTTTTGTTTTCTTCTCATTCTGATGAATTCTGAAGGGGAAATGAATTAAGTGAATTGAAACCTGGCCTCAGATTCAGAGGTGGCGTTTGAGTTTATGACTAAGAAATAAATTACTTGCTGGCCTTCCAGTAAGGGATTTTTCTCTCTTGGATTAATCAAACCTTCTGTGACATTCTTCTGAGCCTTTTTCTTTCCGTTCCGTGGACCTGGATAGCCCTCTCTCATGAGAAGCATCTATGCACGTTAAAATTCTCAACCTGCGTGGGTGTACGTGTTGAAGAATGAGATGTGGACTGTCTACAGATTAGGGCACACCTCACTAGAGACACATCAGAGAACCTTTGACAAGGCATTGGTAGTTTAAAATTCTGATAGCCTTACTCCTCGTATACCTTAGTAAGAATTACTATTCTATGGGGTAAATGATGAAAGACTTTGGGAATTGGGTTGTATTCAGCTCCTGAAAGGGTGCCATTGAGTTTGTGCTGAGGTTTTCTGGAGTAATGTCAGTATGCACACTATTTTCAGCAGCAGCAGAAGAGAAAGCATTGGTTATTAAAAGTTATTAAGGGAAAGTTAGCTGTTAATCCATCGTCTGTTCTAATATGAATGGAAAACAAAGTTTGCCAGAGAGTCAAATAAAATTATGGTTTGCTGATAATAAATCAAAGATTTCAGAACAAGTCGTTCTCAAGCTTTTAAATGTTATCATTAGAGGTACTTTCTGGACATTAAAGATCTAAAAAAAAATCTGAGAAGGAACAACAAATAGAAATGTTCATTTTGATACATTGGTTTTCAAATTTATTTTCTATTTTGGGCTTGCCCACTTTTTCGTTCCTCATGGCAATTGCAAGCTTCTTGGAGTAGTGTTTTTTCTTTATCTTGAACAAATGTAAAAGAAAAAAAATGACTCTTTGGAATACTTGTAGAAATTTTAGAAATAATTATGGAACAAAAATCACTCAGTTTCATTCTAGACAGATAATCATCACGAACATTTGATGTCTATCCTTTGAATGGTGTTGGTTTTTTTGGTATATGCTTATATGAAAATTAAATCAGATTATAATACCATTTTTATAACATGCATTTTCAGTTTTTACAGTAAAGAGTGATTCTCTCCCTTTGCTATTAAATACGCTTCCTCAATGTAATGATTAATGGTTGTGTAATATATTTATACCAAAATGTATTTAACCAATTTTAATGTTTAGATGATTCCTTACTTTTCAGTGTTGTACTTAAAATGCAACAACATCCTTCTCACTAAAAATTTGTACCTATTTATGACTTTTTTCTTTGGGATAAATTCCTACAAGAGGAATTTCTATGTCAAAGGATATGCACAAATTTAAAGATTTGGAATAATAGATTGAAGATTATGCTGAGCACAGTGGCTCACATTTATAATCTCACTCAGCACTTTGAGAGGTTGAGGAAGGAGGATCACTTGAACCCAGGGGTTCAAGACCAGCCTGGGCAAACAGAGACCCCCATCTCTACAAAAATAAAAATTAACTGGGTGTGATAACATGTACCTGCCCCCCTAGCTACTCAGGAGGCTGAGGCAGGAGGATCACTTGAGCCCAGGAGGTCAAGGCTGTAGTGAGCAATGATTGTACCACTGTACCCCAGCCCAGTCAACAAAGGAAGACCGTCTCAAGAAAATATTGTTAATACTATATGCATGAATCCTCAAGAATATTAGATGTTATAATTTATTAACATTTCCGATTTTATTTGTTAAAAGGTTGTCTTTTATTTTCATTTTCTTTTATTATTAGATTAGGCATCTTTTTTCCATATATTTCTTGGCCATTTTTTATGTTTCCTGGTGCTCTGCATATTCATGAAATTTGTGCATCTCTATTAAGGTATTTGTCTAGTCTGATTTATTTTTATGAGCACTTTATTTGTTAAAGATGTTAACCCTGGTCTATCATGTATTAAAAATACCTTCCACAGTATAGCTTTTGTCTTTTAAAGTTGTTCATAGTTTTTAATATTCTGAATTATTTATATCATTAAATATGAACATTTTTCCTTATGATATTTAATTTTGGCATCATGCTTAAAATTTGATTCACAAACATTATTATTTTGTAACAGTTTGGGGTTAAAGCATAAATTTAGACCATTAGCCACTTGATTGTTGCTTCTGTTCCCTTATGTGCCTCCATTTGTTTTTCTTTTCTATAGAAGCAGTGGTTATCCATATATTAATTCCATGCAAGTTTTTGCATCCCTTTCCCCGTAAAAGAAAGGAATATCTGTTTTAACTTTATGTTTGGCAACATTCTAAGGATAGGGGTTACCGCTGGCCCAGTTCTCTGCAGCCCTGTGTAATGGAGCACTTCCCTTCCCAGAGGTCAGGTAGACAGGGAGAAGTGTAGAACTTCAGAACTCATTGTCAGTTTCTGGCAAGCTTTCTTATAGAAAGGATGCATCTCTTTCTGTCCCTTTGCCTGATTCTCTTGCGCTCTGAGTCTAACACTCTGCCCATGAAAACTACAATTCCTAGCACACACACCTCTCAGGGAGCTTCCGTCTCTGTTTATTTGTGATAGTTTATCTGTGGGGCGAATCCAGTACACAATTGCCGGATACCCTTTATTTCACAGCCTCACATAGTGCATTTTTAGTGCTGATGTTTTCTGTGAGTTGTATCTGTATCATTTTAGAATGATGGTAGAAGGGGAAGGTGGTGATTCATATGAATGAAACCAGGTGGCAGAGGCTGTGATGCCTTCATAGATAAGCCGCTACTCTGAAAAAGGAGAATTCAGATTTCTGTATAGACACTGACTGTTTAGGGACTCGTGGGCAGAAAGGTACACAACATCTTCTTATCTTTATTCAGTGAGTTCCCCTTTGGGGAAACAAAGTATGGTACATCCTTCTCTTTCCAGCCCCATCTGTTCCACAGAGGTCCTGTCCAGATTCAGGTGTTAAATTATCTCTTCATTTGGATGCGTTTCCATTTTTTCTGTCTTCATACGTGGTTTACTGGAAAGTTGGAGGAGGATGCAATAGGGGTTGCTGGCCACTTGTTAATTAGTGATTGATTATTTAGCTCTCCTTTAATTTGGTTATGTGCCAAATAATGTATGACTGTTTTGAAAGAAATCAGGTAATGTGGAAGCGCATTAAGGAAAAGGCAAATCTCATGCCTCACTACTCACCAGCTTCCTACCCTCCCCTTAAGTCACTTGTCACTCCATAAAGCCCAGCTGTGTAGCTTCCAGATCTTTTTCTACCCTCACAAAAAAGATTTGTCTATTTTTCACATAAAGATGTATGTATTAATGTGTATTTATGTATTGCAAACATACATCTTACATATATTTTTAAATAATAACTTTCCATGTCGGAGCTACATCCCATTCTTTTGAAATCCTGCCTAGTATTCAAAGGGTGGAGGAATGTGTCATAAGTTACTGAAACTAAGTGAGCATTTTGGTTGTCTCCATTTTTCATAATTACAAATAATACCAAAACAAACATCTATGCACATTTGCCCCTACACATGAGTGTGAATATTTCTGAGGATAGAAATGAAGCCAGTGTACATGGTATTTTCTGATAAGTACTGCCAAATTCTTCTCCAGAAAAGTTGGGCTATTTCATTCCATTACCAACTGAGCATGAAACTGGTGCATTCCTATATTCTTGCCAGTGCTAGATATTACGTATTCCTCCATTCTTCTTTTAGTTGTTATTTAATCTGGAAGCTATTACACCTACTTTCTGAATACAGCTTCCTATCATCAAGTTTCCTTTCCTTGTATGTTCTAAAGTCCCAGTTACATGTGCACTTAACCATACAACCGTAAGTCCCACTCTTGGGTGTTTACATAAAAACTGTATGCAAATATAGCAGTTAGCAATTTTATTTGTAATTGCCAAACCTGTATAGTAGTTTTATTTCTAATTGTCAAAAACTAGAAACAACCCAGATTATACTCAGTTGGGTAGTAGATAAACAAACTCTGGTAAATCCATGCAATGGAATACTACTCAGCAGTGAGATGGAGCAAACAATTGATATATACAACAACATGGATGACTCTCAGATGCAGTACTCTAAGTGAAAGAAGCTGGACAAAAAAGATAACTGCATGATTCCATTTACGTACCATTCTGGAAAAGATAAGGCGAGGGACAGAAAAT